AAGCACTATTTCTGGGTTAGCGGAGTCTGTAACCTGAAGTGTATGTAACCTGAGGTACCACTGTGCTATGAAGTGCATGAGGAGGAAGATGCACATAGTAAGTAATTCTATATTATGTGGCAGGGGGAGCCTTCAGTTGCTGTCAGACTATAACACCCCTCACCTCTGACCATTGGTCATTCTGACTGGGGCTGATGGGAATAGTTAACCAAAACATTCTAGGGGTTACCATGTCAAATCCTTATGCTTTACAGCTTGGCCAAGGGCAACTCTCCATGGAGAAACCATTTTCAACAGCATTCCCCTAGTGACTGTTCTCAGGCTCTGAGAAATTAGCTGTACGTAGTTGACATATTTTGAAGAGGCAGTGATGGGAGAAGATGCACAAGTGAGATGTGTTGCTTCTTGCTGCACTTACTATTTGGAAGGTGCGAATCTTGGGTGCTCAGATAGCTTGTGCTCCCCCCCACACACACTTTGTATTTTGCAGAAAGTAACACAGTAAAAACTTACTTTAAGGGTGTGGTAAAAAGCCCATCTCATGCACATTCATTCCCATTGTGCATTTATTTTATGTAGCTGACACCCACAAATTACATAAAACAAACAAACAAGGCCAAACAAACGCCACCCTGGGCATCAGTGGCGACTAGCGGCAGGGATACATTTGAAACTAGCTTTCATAAACAGCCATGCAAAGGCCCCCATTTCTAATTATCATTCCTGTGGTGGGAAATAAATGTGAAGAAGATATATATATACAATAAAAGGAAAGGCAACATAAATATTGAATGGACTGACGAGTCCATCTTCAGTAAGTTGGCTCCCATGGCATATTTTAATGGAAGATATAATAAACGCTCAGGTAGATACAGGTCTGTGTATTTGTGGAGCATATCAACCATTATTTTCGATATGTCGCTTTCCCCCAAGAAAATTTTCATTTTATGTGTTTATAATAGATATATTGAAATGTGTGACTTTGAAAAAAAAATTATAAACACTAGATAAATAGGCTAGCTACAAGATGGCCTTATTCACACCAGTAACCCAGAAGCATTGGAATGGCAGGGGGAGATTGGGGATTAGCCGCTCCACCCTGCTGCTGTTTTAAATAAGCCATCAATATAACTGGAATTTACTTCCAAGTCTTAGGATCACAACCTCAGACGTTTCATACTAGCAAAGAAGTTTTTACGGTATAGTATGGTATAGTACGTTGATTAGTGCAGGAGTTAAGAATGCTATCTTAGAATTCCAACTCTGATTCACAAGTTTTATTCCAGTGGAGTGATGGGTCCTGCCATACCCCAGGGATGGGGAACCATTGTCCCTCCAGATGTTACTGGATTTTCAACTCCCATCAACTCCAGCCAGCATAGCTGCCATTGATGAGGATGCCAGTGGTGAGGAATGATGGGTCCCACAACATCTGGAGGACTGCTGAGTTTCTATCCCTGCTATACACAAAAACAAGATGTTGAGTGCTATTGATTGCCAGCCTGTGCTTAAGAGATCCACCATACAGGATTGACCTGACAAGATTTTTTTCTGCCTGAGGCAAACAAGATTGTGCATCCCCTCCTGCCGCTTCCATGTACAGTGGTACCTCGGGTTACAGACGCTTCAGGTTACAGACTCCACTAACCCAGAAATAGTACCTCGGGTTAAGAACTTTGCTTCAGGATGAGAACAGAAATCGCATGGTGGCTGCAGTGGGAGGCCCCATTAGCTAAAATGGTGCTTCAGGTTAAGAACAGTTTCAGGTTAAGAACGGACCTCCAGAACGAATTAAGTTCTTAACCTGAGGTAACACTGTACTTAAGTCAAGTGGGCTGGCAGGAGAAACTTACTTTAATCCTGATTACAGGACAGTGTCCTCCACCATTCCTCAGGTCTGCAAGCTAGCTTTGGGGCCCAGAACAGCACCTGCAATACACACAGCTCTGTTCTCCAACACCTCACAACTACCAGCCAGCATCTGCTGCCAGAGTCAACGATCTCACTCTGCTTAATGGTAGAGCTGGTCCTTCTGCTAGATGGAGATGCAGAATAGCTGCATCGCTAAAAGTTATATAAAAAGACATTTAAAACTTACATCTCATTATGCCAATAGCTGCCTAACTGCTAAAATCCTTTCTACCAGTACTGATGACACAGCCGTGTGTTCATATTGTAGTCATTTTAATTGTAAGAAAAATCCGTATTGAATATAAAATCTGCCACAGATCACTATTCAATCACTCAGACTGCAATCCTCAATACAGTGTTGCACCAAAATCCCCACTAACTTGCAAGTAAATACGCACTGCCAAACTCTGGCATCCTTTGCTCCTGGAATGTACACTGAAAACATCACCACCTAGTCCCTACCTTATCTTTGAAATCTTATTCTGTGTTTGCACTGGAGTCAATATCCATGACAGGGACGCGGGTGGCGCTGTGGGTAAAAGCCTCAGTGCCTAGGGCTTGCCGATTGAAAGGTCGGCGGTTCGAATCCCCGCGGCGGGGTGCGCTCCCGTTGCTCGGTCCCAGCGCCTGCCAACCTAGCAGTTTGAAAGCACCCCCGGGTGCAAGTAGATAAATAGGGACCGCTTACTAGCGGGAAGGTAAACGGCGTTTCCGTGTGCGGCTCTGGCTCGCCAGATGCAGCTTTGTCACGCTGGCCACGTGACCCGGAAGTGTCTCCGGACAGCGCTGGCCCCCGGCCTCTTGAGTGAGATGGGCGCACAACCCCAGAGTCTGTCAAGACTGGCCCGTACGGGCAGGGGTACCTTTACCTTTACCTTACCAATATCCATGACAACATTATTAATGAGGTTCTTATCCTGTTGCTCCTCTTCCTAGATCTCTTGCCATTTAAGCGACATGCTTAAAAAATTAGTTCACTGATAAGAATGAAACTTCAAATGAATTGTGGGCAAAGCCCTTAACCCCCATGTGGGATCATAATGATGCCCTACGTCAAAGGACACCTTCCCACAGCAAGAGTCATTGACAAGACAGAGGCTGAAGTTGTTCTGGGAAGGAGTGTGCAACCATGACTGGACTGACCAAATGACATTGCCTTAGCTTCACTGAGTGGGAACTGCTACTTATCAGCACTCAAACTGCTAGCTAGAGCTGCTGGTTATAAAATAACATAACGAAACCCTATTCTTTCCCTTCCAAATGAGACTGTTGTATCATTTGGTGTGGAGAAAGTGTCTTGGCTCACATACTACATAGGAGTTAGATAGGAAAGGGGCATCTGTGGCCCTCCAGATGTTGGGCTATAGTTCCTATTAGTCTCAGCCATCATCCCTCATCTTCATGCTGGTTGGGATTGATAGGAACTATAGTTCAATAACATCTGGAGGGCCATAGGTTGTGGTTCAGAAGCACCTGCAGAGACACATGTTTCCTTCCCCTGAGTTTAGAGGTGCCTGTGACATCGCTGCAAGTCACTTTCCACTATCTATGTTATTTTGAATAGTCATTTGACAACAATTTTATTCCATTTTATTTCTTTGCATTAGAAATTGAACATCACCATCTTCAGTACACAACTCTTTCTGTTGTTCTTTTAATGTTCTCTCCCCCTATAACCAAATTTTTCTTTTGTAGGGGATTGCGTTCTCTTTCATTACATGAAGATTTAGCTGTTGTGGTCAACGGCTAGCACTGATTCAGGAGTATCAGAAAGTTGGCATTGCCACCAAAGGAAAAACCCTCCTTTTTAAAGTGCCAATAACATCTGATCTAACCTGGACTCTTAAAGTAAAAAATAAATAAATAAAAGTTGTCATGTTTTTAGTGAGATTTAGTGAGGCTTCTGAGCAATCCTGGGTATCTTTCCCAAAGAAAGAAAGACAGGATAGTAAAGTTTTCATAAACAACTAAATGAAAATATGAAGTCATATGGAAATATGTCAGACTATGTGACCAAAGCCACACTTTGGAATCTTGAACCTTAATCCAAATTGTTGGGGGGCCAAAATGTCCCCCCACTTTTCATTGTGCAACTCACATGTAGACCTACAGGTCACAAATTTCATAAATGTCATACATATTTCAGCCAGTTCCCACTTACTGTTTTCCTCAAAAACAGAATGCACTCTGTGGAATACAGTGTGACACCACTGGTAGTTTGATACTGTACCTGACTTAAATGATAAAGATGCATATATATATATATGCTGCATCCGTTTTATTCCTATTGGTGAGTGAATCCCGCACATCCCCAGTGCACAGTGGTATATCCTGTTTGAGGCTTTGCATGAAATCAAGTTAGCCTTGTTTGCAAGTATTAATGTCACCCCAAGAGAAGACTGAAAGTAAGAAGTGTTTACCAGAACAATCTCTGGTAAACCATGGCCTGATCTATAGAAGTGGAAGATGCATGCAATAAATCTTACTGATTCAATTTCAGCTCTGGGTCAAGGAGGCTGGAATTCTTGACATCCTTTCCTGTGAGTAATCCCCACTGAACACAGTGAGACTAATTTCTGAGTAAGCATTGGAATGCACCACTGCTGCTGCTGCTGCTTCCAATAAATTAGTTCTGCAATTATTATTATTTTTTTAAAGGATAATCCTGCTTCCCAGAAATACTGTACTCCAAAAGCAGTTTTCCAAAAAATCAGTAAGGTTGACAGGCATGTGCTGGGTAATATCACTGCATTCTCCATTTGTGGAGCACTGTAGTCCTGACTGGGTGAGTTGAATTGTGGGAAATTGATGTAAATATGGTTTTGCCTTGAGTTGGACTCAGTTGGCCCTTTGGATTCCTTTCTTCTATGGTTTGCAGTATATTGTGAAGTTACTATGGCACTATGTTGGCAGAATCAATAAGCAGATAAGGAAGTCTAAATGAAGGTGTGAAAAGTTGGTGTAATTGCAGAATTCATTTTTACTACAACATTTACAATAGAGACATACTTGAGAATACTCATTGCTCTATATTTTAAGGCAGAATGGTCATATATACAGATTTGAAGGAAAAGCATACTCTAACTTACCTAATAAAAGTTTGTTTTTATCTCTACAATCCGGTGTGTTCCATGGATTGTTACACGAAGCCCAAGGTAACACTTGTACAAGGGATGCAAAAAGGTAGAAAAGTGTGTAGCACAATATAATATTATAATATATGGCTATTAGGACAGAGATAATCAGCATAGCAATGCCACAGCCTGAAAAAAAAAGAGAGGATCAAGGATCAGGGAGGATCACAATTTAAACTACTAAAAATACATAGGCTTGTATCCAACTAGTTCATACACAGAGTAGAGCAAAAGAAATTAATGGACCTAAACTTGCCACATCCCATAATTTGTATGAGTTTACTCTGAGTAGGGCTAACATCAGATATAATCCAGAGTGAACTAAAGGATAACATTGAGGCTGCCTAGTCATATACAACATGAACACATTTTAGTTTAAATAGCATCTTATTTTTCAGGTGTTTTCTTTTACTGAAAATAGTTCAACACACCATGCAGCTCAATCCTATCTATTTTTAAGTGCCCCTGAATTCAGCTTGGCTTTCTCCCAAGTAAATGTTGTGCTGGAATGTAATTCATAGTGCTTAACAGAATATTTTTGTCTTGGCACAAAATCCATCTAGGATTGCCATATAAGAGGGTAGTGGAGCTGTCACCCCATTCTTGAAGACCACACGTGATTTATTACTTTATGGGATCTACATTTAAAGGATAAATGCTTTCTACATTAATATCAGCACTCTTGCTTCTACAAAAATAATATTTTCATTATCTTGATTGATCTTGGATTGAATCTTTCTATGTTCCAAAGTAATATCTAATTCTGCATCATGGGATTATAATGATAAGTCGTCACTTAGTTCTTTGCCTTGCTGGATTGTATAATGCTTTGATTACTCAATAAAGTTTCTTTTTTAATGCTTTTAAAATACACTGTTCTGTTGCAATTCCCTAAGAGTGTCAGAAGAGCCTGCTGGCTCAAGCCAATGACCCATCCAGCTCAGAATCCTGTTTTCACAGGGGACAATCAGATGCGTAAGATGCATAGCTACAAGTAGGACCTGTACACCAGAGCACTCCATCCTGCATTTTCCAGCAACTGGTATTCAGGAAAAAACATACTGCCTCTGACCATGGAAGCAGAGCAGAGCCATCAGGCAAGTAACCATCGATAGCCTAATGCCCTCCACCAATTTGTCCAATTATCTTTCAAAGCTTCTTCTCATTTCATGTCAGTACATTTGTCACCACCACACCAGCCAACATGAACCTTGAAACAGTGCTGCCTATACAAGGGAAGTGGGAAAGTACCATGCAGCATGGTATGTGCGAGATATTTAGCACTGAAGGGAAGTGCTATTTTCTTATGAGACGTACGTGACACCATAAAAGTGATGCAGCCGTGGAATGCTCTCCTCCTGCTGGGAAGTGCAGCATGGATCCACTAAAGCAGAAAAGTGCTGCATTACTACTACATCAGTCATTGCAAGGTCACCTCAAGGTCAAAGTCAGATTGCAGCGCATCAGCCACTGTTCTCGTAGCAGTGCCACACAGAGGAGAACCCTTGTCATCTCTCTTGCTTTGAACTGAAGGAAAACCATGATCTCCGAGTTAAAAAGACACACACACACACACACACACACACACACCATGCACACAAAATGCCACAGGACAAGGCATTGTTTCTGCTCAGCTCACCTTGTAAGGCAGGGATGGCTTTCCAAACAGACACAGGTCCCTGACTAGCAAACTGCCCCAGAGAAACCTCCAGGAAGAAGATGGGGACCCCAGCCAGAGCCAACATTGTCAAATAGGGAATAAGAAATGCACCTAATGGAAGAAGAGAATACAGATCTCAGGGACAGCATGGGTGGGAAAGGGCACAGCCCTGACATTTTGTAGCTGTTTTATTTTGTGCATTGCAAAAGCACTTTACAATCCTCCTCCCCGCCCCAAACCCCTGCAGAGCAATACCAAACTTTTTGAAACTAATGTATTTCCTGTTTAGAAACCCTTCGCAAGAGTGCTTTGTCGGCAGAAAGCAGGGCTCTCTCCCTTGGGAAAGCTTTGCATGTTGGTCAGATTGGCAGAAGGTATTTTCATGCCCCATAAAACCCAGAGTTATAATTACCAGGGCATATTAAAACAAAATTAGGCTGATCCTAACAATCCTTATTTTGAAGGTAAAGAAAGCAGGCTAAAGAAAACACATTGGTGCCCACTCCTAATATCTACCCAGAAGCAGCCCCACTGAACTCTGTACGGGTTACTAAGACTGCATCCACGAGACTTCCAGTTCAAGGGGTAAACCTGTGTATACAGATGGTTGTCAATCCTATTAGATTTAGTGGAACTTAATTTCCTGGCAAATACGTGCCAGATCTCAGCCTGTGCAGGGCTGTTCCCCCTTCTAGCCACCTCGACAAAACCTGCCTTGTTCAGTTCAACCGCTCCTGACCCGCCTTCTCCTTGGGGCATATTATGGATTTGCTTCTGCACCGTGTCAAACAAGGCTGACTGTTCGGAGTGGAAATGGCTGCCAGACTTGCTGCAGGTGGTGCAGCTAATTCAATTACTACTCATAATTTCTCTCATCATCACCTACAACTGCGTCTCAGGGCTTCCTGGAGTGTGTCCTGGGGAAGGAAAATCAGCGTTGTTTTTAAGAGGGGCGGGTGAGGGGGGGGGATTGCGCTGGAAACAGCCGGCTCCTAATTTCAAATTTTAAAATAAATCACGTTGGGATGGCATTTATGCATTTGACAATGAAGTCTTCCCAGCAACTGTGTTCGTTACTTGTATAAATACAATACAGCCCGCAGCCGCTGCTGTGATGTGGTTGACTCACATTAGGAGGGAAGCTCAGCAAACCTGGACTCCCCACGCTGAGACTGCTGTTCAGAATTCTGTTGTGAAATCGAAATCAGGAGAGCTTTGCAATGATGCCAAAAAGACAAATCATTTGCGCTGGACCAGGGACTGCGCCTGCGCAAACTTGAGACGCAGCTCCTTAATCTGCCTGTTCTGTTACCCATATTTGGGAGAGATCCTCAATGAACTCGGTAGGATATATTTCTGGGTATACTGGCTTCGGATTAGGTACAATAAGTGCGTCTGTGTGGTTTCTTTCGATCCCACTGAATTGGGAGTAAATTTACTGAGATCCCAAAGCACATGTGTTCAGGATTTCAGCCCTAACCCGAATTCAGCAACAGTTTGGCTAAATGGCATGTTGGGTAAATCACGTGTATGGAATAATGGTGATTAATTAATATATATATCGGGTATTGATAAAAAATACACCCTGGAAACCTTGAGGTTTAGAATAACCAGAGTTGAGTCCCCACCACCACCGTTTGAAATTGAATCATAATAAACAACCACTTCTTGTAGATTCTGAGACAACCACATGTTTTTGTTTTATGTGAAGTTGAAAGTTTTCTCCAAAACTGCAAAATCCTGTGATTTCACTCAAACAACAGAAAAAGCTCAGCGGGTGGAGCATCTGCTTCGTATGCAGAGGTCCCACGTTCACGCCTCGGTATCTCCAGTTGGGGCTGGGAGGAATCCCCGCCTGAAATCCTGGGTTGCTGCTGCCAGTCAGTGTAGACAATACTGAGTTAGATGGGCCAATGGTTTAGACTCAGTATGTGGCAGCTTCCTATCTTCCTAAGAAAGGTGACTTTTGTGGTGTTGGGTGTACTGACTACATGAATGACAATGGGTAAACTAAACAGTGATAGCGGGCTATATATGCACCGAGACATACAAACGAGAAAAATATGTTAACATGCAGCGTTCAGCAGAAGGTGAAGAATTGCCGTTTAGGCTTAGTCCAATTAATCAGAGCGGGGAAAATATATGCACCTTTTCGCTCATGAAATTCTAATATCTGTAAGGCTGGTCTTGTTTTCTCTGTATGTAATATACGGGTTGGATAGGAAATCGCCAAACTCCGATAGTAATTAAAGCAACGTCGATATTCATGGCAATAATGCACTATGAGAAAGCCGGAATGTTTTAAATGCACATTCTACTATTTTCGTTTGTGATTGTGAGAGGTATGTTACATCTCTTTCATTTCTGAACGGGGGGGGGGAGATCATTTTGTTTTAGGCGTTGTCTAATTCTAATAAATGAAAATAGTTTTATCTTTGTGGTTTCCCAGTTTGGATGTTGCCCCCTTTACTGTAGTCAAAACTGGTGGGAAAATATTTCTAAATTAGGGTTGTTTGTTTTCCCATAAAGCAAGAAGGTTCGGTGGACGGAACTGGTAAAAATTCTCACGCAGTTTTTCAGAGCTTGATTGCCGTATCAACTATATTTTGTTTTATTTTTCAGAGAGGTCGGTAGAAAGCTTTACTGTCTCTTCACTTTCCAGACTCTAGTCCCTAATCCGTTGCCTGTTTATTTTGAAGTTCCCAAAAGAAGGAAGAAAAGCTGTTTGGGGAGGACAATTTGGAGGGAACAAATAGTCGGAAGGGAAAGGGCTAAGGCAGCAGACACTTCTCCGCCCCCTCCGTTCAAATTGGCAGGCCCCCCCCCGATGCTTTTCAGTTTAAAGTGGGCTTCGGGAGACCTTGCACCTCTAGCGTACAGTTTGGGCCCCAAAGGGTCCCATTAGTTCAAGAGGGCTGGTTTCTTAATGACTGCGTCGAATTGCAACCATGATCATCTGCATGCAGACTCTTTCCGAAGGATTTGCTGCGAAAATCTGCTCTCGCTTGATTTGCTCTTTGAAATGATTGCCTCGCTCCCTTTACTTCGAGGTAGTCACCCCGAAACATTTGGAAGAATAAAAGATCTCCAACGCTTGTTTACTCAGAAGCAAGTCTCGCTGAGCTCAGCTGGGTGCACAGCTGGAAGATCGCAGCCGATCCTAAGCATGCATATTGGAAGCAGATGTCATCGTTTCAAAAGAGATCCATCCATCACTCCTTCAGTCCTTTTATGTTTTGTTTATGTATACTGTACATTCTGTTAGGTTTCGCCAAGGTCAGTTTCAGCAGTGGCGGAGCTTCACTGCAGACCTTAAACCGAACGATTTGCTTTTAACTGATAACATAGAATGGCACACTTGTCGTCCGCATCGGGTGGAATAAAGACCTTACTCCGGGTCACTAATGCGGATTAGAATTTACTTCACCCGCAAGCATGCCTTGAAGTCTATTTTGTTCATTCTTCACGCAACGCAGATTATAGGATAGGGGCGTGATATGGGGTGCTTAATGGATACTTCTAACATAAGGTGAAGTAACCTTTCCTATGAACACCAAGATCAAGAGATAATCTCGCTTTTTAACCCAGGGGCATCGATTTCTCTGGCTGCCCCTGTTTTCTAGAACAGGGCTTGCGGGTTTCCGAAGATGGACAGCTTCTAACCCCGCCCCCTGTCCCGCCCCTTCCCCCCTCGCCATCAGCAGCACCCACCCCTTTGCTTCTAAGGCACTGGCTGAAAGCCCGATCCAGAAACCAGAGGGAGTGGGGAACTCGAATTTAAGCTGACTGAGGAAGCAGTTTACGTTCAAGCTCAGCGCTCCGTTTAACCCGGCTGGTGGATCAAAGGCCCCAGCGTTACCCCTTTCTGAGCTGCAGGGTGTAAAAAGAGAGGAAAATCCATACCTCCCCCATTCTTAAAGGCCAGGTACGGGAACCTCCAGACATTGCCCAGCCCTACTGCATAACCCACCATGGAGAGGATGAAGTCCAGCTTGCTAGACCAGTTTCCCCGGGCTTTATTTTCGTCCCCTTCATCCTCCTCCTCCGGCTGGAGGGAGACAGAAACAGAAACACAATTACATCGACGCGATAGCACACAACGAGTTCAGATGCGGGATGTCTGAGCTGCCATCCCTAGGCAAACTGCACCGCTGTAGTTGCAGTAGTAATTGGTTTTATATTTATATACATAATAATAGATTATTATTCTTATTCATCAGTCCATACAATAAACACAAGAAAAATAGCAAGAAAATACAGAGGTCTTGAGTTTAGGGGACCCTTGAGAGCTACAGCATTTAATCGTGGCGTGGGGAAAGAATGAACTGAAAATGTCCTCTAGGAAAGTTAGAGGTGATTCACTCACACAGGTCCTTCGCTGGGAATCTTAGGACTCGCTGATCTGCAGTTGGCTCTGTCACAAAACAAGAGAAAGCCCCAGGCACTTTTAAGTCCCATTGGCAGAGTTATGTATGTGTTTAAATCCCTCCTTGTTGAAATCGACGAGAGTTTAATAGACGTGACTTCTGATCATGTCCTCCTCCGAGTTTGAGATCATAAGATGATCCCTGGCCAGCTTCCCTGCCTGCACCCCCCACGTGTGAATGTGGAAGGCAAACTCCAGTGGCATTTGGAGCAAACATGCCCTGGGCCTGGCGCGCATCATCACCCTTTTAATCGGGGCAGGAATGGGAAGAAGTTTAGAACAAAAGCGGAAAACCTGACAGTGCCTAAGGCGAGACCGAGTTGCGCCGAGGGTCCCACTTCAAGGCTTCATGTGGCTGAGTTAAGCAGTAAGCGATTGGGAGAGGCGAGCTGGCGCCCTAATGACTCGCGCCGGCTGTCTGCTGCGCACAGCGCTTTTGGGAGCATTTGCCCGGGGCGCGTGAACTGTCCCCCTGGTCGTTTGCCATCCCTCAACCCCCAGTTACCACACGGTCCATTCTCCCTCCAGTCACTGCTTAGGGAAAGAAGAGCAGCGAGGCGGGATGGGGCTGTGTGTGTGTGTGTGTGTGTGTGTGTGTGTGTGTGAGAGAGAGAGAGAGAGAGAGAGAGAGAGAGAGAGAGAGAGAGACGCGCTTGAACTTACTGAAGAGCTAAAGAAAGCGGGGAAAGAGGCCTGTGGCGATGAGAAGCGCCGGTTTGGCGCTGGGCTGGGGCCACACAGCTTCAGCCATACGCAGGGGCGACGCCTCGGTGGAGGAGCTCGGCCGAGGGGAGGAGGCAAAGCATTTTTCGGGGGGAATGTCCTCCTGAAGACCACTTGAAGGCACTGGCGACGCTACCAGACCCAACTCGGGGCTTGGTGAACCCGAACGGGAACGCGCGAGGTGATGGAAGTTCAGCCTAAGTAAACTCGCCACACACGCGCGGGCGCGCGCGCCGCTGGGGAGGGTCCCGAAGTCCTAAGAAAAGTCTGTCCTGAGGAGAAGGAGGAGGAGATTCAGGCTTCCTCAGCTTCGCTGGGATACAGCAGCAACCACGTCATGACGCACGGCCTGCGCGCTGGCCTTTGGTTCGACCCGCCAGGGCTGAGTGGCCGCCATTGTCTTCTTCCAGGCCTAGGCCGCCCCAGGGCCTTGGATGTCCCCTGTCCGCAAGGCACAGTCCCTCTGTCACTGAAGGGCTGAAAGTTTCCCTTTCTGGACGAATAGGCAACTCCTAAGGGCCGAGGCGAGGGATCTTCGCCCCCGTTAAATATTGGGGGGTGGCGCTGCTTCCCTAAGTTGAGGGGCATTTGCCATTCAAATACTGTGCGCGCACCGTGTCATATGATCGATTATGTGGGGCCGGTCCTACTCCTTCCTCGCCAATATTTTGCTCAAATTGGCGCCCTTGAGCCCAGCGGTTCATCGGGACTGCGGGGAGAAAGGATGAAAGTTCTCTTCCCCACGGACCCGATCCTGCTCCCTCCCACGAACACAACACCCGCGCGCGGCTTGGCAGATACAGTGTGATCAAGCGGTGCGCCGATTGTGGAAATCAAATAGATCAGATGTAATAAAAGTTGCGGCCCTGATATGTAAACTCCGCCGCGACTGAGGGCGAATGAGTCCTTGGCTTGAGGTTAACTGTAGCCGGTGTGGTGTGGTGTAGTGGTTAGAGCAGTGGTTCCCAACCTTTTTTGGCCATGCCCCACCTAAGCATCTCTAAAATCTTGATTGCCCCTCCCATATAATTCTTATTATTCAAAAAGTGAACTCCTATTCACGTGGAGGAAGCCATTAACTTGGTCTAAACATTCTCGAATTGTCCCCCCCCCAAAAAATCAAATTGCCCCCCTGTGGAGGGTGTGGCCCCATGTTGGGAACCACGGGGTTAGGGCTTCCGGCTTCGATCTGGGAGACTAGGCTTCGAATCCCTGACCTTGGGCCGAACATTATCGCTCCAAACTGACCTCACAGGGTTGCTGTGTGAAGATAAAATGGAGAGAGGAAGAACCAAATACGCCAACTTGAGGTGCTTGGAGGAAAAGCGGAAGATAAATTTAATTTTAAAAGTGTACGAACTCAGTTCCTTTTTTCTTCAGTCGGACACCAGTTTGCATTGTAGGGAGGGCAAAGAGGACAATGTGTCAAACTGTAGATTATCCGGAAACGGGTTAAAAAATACCCACTTTCTCGTGGGTAGCAGGAATCCAATCGCAAGAATAAACAAAAAATGCACCGCGGGGACTGAATCTTCAGATTTGCTCGCTACTTAGGCAACGTGGTCCACCACATGCAGCTGAGCCCACAAATGAACCATCTCGATCTAACTTAGCGGAATTTCTGAAAAGTAACCCAATGTTGTTCCTCTGAGCACTGACACTTAGATCGTTTTAAATCGTAGTGATGAAACTTAATTGTGCTAAGTGGGCGGATATATCTGTCCTTCACTCGAGAACATGTGATAACGGCATTCTGAAAAGTGAACACCTTTGCGTTTGATAGCTTCTCACGCGAAGCTTCCACCGTAACCTTCAGTGGTTATAGTGTACAGTCAAATCCGGTTTTGCAAACCACAATAATGTATATGGCCTTAACTGCACATCTTAAGCCCACGGGGAGCCAACCACATAATCTGATGTCTTTGCACTTGTACTGCTCATGAGGGAGCAGTAGGATGCTGTCTTCACGACCAGAAAAGCAGTCAAACGGACACCTTAACCGAGACTATAGATGCGCTGCTCCGGATTGTGTGAATGCGGACGGGAGGGCGCAGCATGCTCTACTCCGCACCAACCCCTTCAGAGCGGAGAAAGACAGCCGTGGACGCCTCTGTTTCTTAGCAGAGGCCACTGTCTTGCCAGGGTACCAGGTGCGCGCTTTCACCAGCCCGGCCCCATTTCTACATCACACCGCAGTGCCCGGGACTTGCTCACTGACCCCGAGTGACGATTGAACTGTCTGAGATGGAGTGATTGATCACAGAGCCCGGGCCCGGTGGGGCTTCGAGCAGAGGGCCTGCTACGGTTGGCTCTTTGCTTGGGTGGTTTTTTGTTGTTCGCTTTGATTGCCTTCCCCGTTTGCTCGACAGGCAAGAGCGCTCCCCAAGGGTCCCTTTTGGACAGCGGCGCTGGCGAACGCTCAGAGCCGGGAAGGAAGAGTGAACTTTGGCAAACTGGAGTCGCAGCTACAAATGCTCCTCTGAGGGGGAGGGGGACTCTTCTCGCGCACGTGCCAGAGAAAGAGAAAGAGATCGGGTTAATTAGGTTAATCAGCTATGAATAGCGCTCAGACAAAGCGGTGCAAGGTAATGAGTATTTTTCGATTGGAGGTGGCAGGTCCCGCCGCAGCAAACGACAAGAGGCCAATGGGACTTAATCCGTTTTTTGTTATGGTTTCTCTCTGCCAAGCTAGCTAGAGATACATAATCACAGAAGTAGGTGGAAATATACATACGCCCGTGTGTATTACAATTGTCATTGCCCACCAAAACCTTAAGAATGGGTCGGCTAAGAAATTAATTAATACTCATATTTGTTTGCTTTTGCGTGTCAGTTTCCCTCCCAGACTCAGGCGAATACTGAATGACTTTTTGCGCAGTTGATTGGAAGGAAATATGTGTGCGTTGAACAGGGTAGTTACGCAGTTAGTCTCAGGATGTTTACTCGGAAGTAAGTCCAGCCTGTTCAGTAGACTTACTCAGCAACAGGGAAACATTTTAGCCAAGTTCTATTTCGCCTTATAGATCGATTTCCCTTTTCGCGCTCCAGTGTCCAATAATGACCACATTTTATGATCTGTTGGAGGAGATCCACTTCCCTTCTCCTAATTGGTGCCTGAGCCCCAGGAAGGAGAGAGAAGAGTTATTTCAAGTCTTTGTGCTTAAGAGAGAAGAATAACTAGATCATCATTGTCATCATTTCCAGACCCTCGTTTTCCTTCTTTCTACTGCACGCAGGAGGAGGACTATTTTCAAGATCGCTCACTGCCAAGCCTAAATCTGATTTAGTATACCCGAAGTTTCTATTAGGGATGCATTTTACGTGGAAAGTGGCATTGGTGGACATCCGCCTATGTTCAAACCACTTGTGTTAGATCCGAAAAGACGTGGGGTGGGGAAGACAGAGAGAGACAGAGACAGAGACAGAGTAACAGGGGGAAAGTAACAGGGAGAAACGACTTACCTCAGTGACCGCACGGCCAGGGAGAACAGACGTGATCCCATCTGTGCCCAAGACCACGGTGCTCTGGCTCATGTTCACCCAAGCGCCCTTGGCATTGTTTTGCTCCAGTGTGCTCTTACCAATACTTTGATTAGCTTCCCCGTCTGTGCTTTGCAACGGGGGGATTTTGCAAGGGGCAATGTGGGCCTGGAGGGTGTTCCCTGCGCTGGGGGCGTTCTTGAGAGGGAAAGGGTCTATAGAGTCTTGCACGGGGGCGAGTTTGCAGATGCCAACTTTGGTCCTCTCGGAATCATTTGCCTTGGCTTCGTCGGGTGGCAAAGTTTTGTTGTCGCTGGAGAGAGCAGTGGCGACTTCGGCCAGCTGGGACGGGACTTGGGAAGGCAGGTTCTGCGGGTGCTCCGTCTCGGGGCTGTTCCTTATCATCCCGGCGCTTTCCAGTGGCCCAGAGGCGGCTGACTCGGGGCTGTTCACCAGCTGTTTGCTCATCTCCTTTTGACTGGCGTAATCCTGAAAGAGCAGAGGCACATTGAAAAGAGTGAAGCAAAAGCGGACCTGCCACAGAACAAGGGGCCCGTCCCTGACATAAAGTGTTTGTATTGTGGTTGCACTGCTAAAGATAATCGCGAAGGCGTCGCAGCAGATCACGTTTAGGCAGCCCTCCCCTCGCTAATCTTCATACTGTAAGCTAGAACTGCATCGGCGCCCTCAGATTCCAGTATTAGATAGATGCAATATCGCTTCCAGCTCTCTGCTTGCAAACCTCCTTGATTTTCTCATCACGACTGTCGGATGCTCTTTTCTCCTAGCACCATTGTAGAAAGATTCTTTAATTTTACGCCCCATTTCCTTTCTGTCATTCAGCAATGCACACTAGCTTTGGATTGGGGGGGGGGGGGTCGGCATTCTGCCTTCGATGCAGCTAGCGAGACATAGCGAAACTCAATAATATTGGTTCCTATATTCCCCCAGTAATGATTTTTCTCAATAATTTAGTCTAATGGTAGAAAAAAGAAAAGGTCTGCAAGAAGTGTTAAAGGCACATTATCTATTACAACAAATGCTAAACTGTATTTTCTGAAATTCCAATCCTCAGCATGTTACTCAGAAGTAAATGGGATTTATTTCTCATTCAGCACAGGAAAATCTAGAGATTTATTTTTTAGGCCGCAATTCTATACTATACTATTACTATACCATACTATACTATACTTGGGAGTAAGTCTCAGTTAACACAAAATGGCTGAGTCGGCATGTATAGTATTGCATTGCTAATATTTAAGACGCCTGTACTGTACCAGTATTAAATATTGGCCACATTCTACCAGCCTGTGTTTTAACTTTTTACATCTCTTTTTACATCTCTTAATCCTTTTGAAGGTGTGTGTTATAATAAACAACGGTGCTAACTAAAATCACACAACTTTAGAAAGTCACATTTTGCTGCTCTTAAGAGAATAACCCTTTACGACGCTCAAAAGCAAACACGTAGGCAGTTTCTTGTCCGCATTTGGATTTCAGGGTCGGTCGAGAACCCTCAAAACGCGCTTAATTAATAACTGCAGCTGCAGAACTTCAGTAAAGAAAGCAAATTTTACTCTTGCACTGAAATACACCCACATTTTTGCATGTCCTCCCCACTTTTCCTTCCCACTGCCGCTTTGTATATAGAGGAATGCGGAACGCTCTCTACACAGGAATGTGGACGTTCAGGACCCTGGACAGTGCCAACGCCTCCACTCGTCCCCTCCCCACTGCAGTCGACACTTTCCCAAGTCTAACAGTGCGCTGCTTATGTATGTTCCATTGAGAAGCATCTTCCACTTTGTACAGTGGGGCTCACTTTCAAGGAAGTGTAGGACTGCAGGCTGAACCACATCCCCAAACTTAATTTGCAGCCACTTTTCATTTTAAGAGCAAAATGCAATTCCCCTCCAGCCTAAACATTCCCCAAAGAAACAGAAAAGAGAGGGGGGAACCCAGAGCACCATCACTTACCATGTCTAAAGTAGCATCAGATAGAACCCGCAGAGGTAAAAACAGCAGCACAGGCAAAATGGGTAGACTGGGTTTTGCTCCGGCAAGACCAAAGCTTTCTATACCTCCGTGGGAAAGACTGGGTTTGCGTCAGTGCATAGCAAGGTGCCCTTCGTATGACATTTTCTTGATAATACGAGCTTGATAAATCATTACCCTTGGATTCGGATTTTAAAGGGACAACAAGAAGCCTTCGCGCCGGCTCGCTGTCACTCAGGCAGCGGTTAGGATTACGTGTTCGGTGTGACTCATTGGGGAGGGGGGATATGCTGAATAAGCCAAGCCCAACGAAAGCAGAACTTTCTTGCTGGTAATTAGAAAAAGAACATGTGAGGAACACGTCCTATTGCACCCAAAGCACAAACGCGAGCCGCGAAAGACCTCCCCGCCTCCGCCTCCCTCCTCCAAGCACCGCTCTACGTCTCCTTACGCTTCAAGCCAGAACCTCTGCAATGGACACACCCCATTCCACCACGTCTTTCGACTTTTTTTTTTTTAGACGCTTCAGCCCGTGCGCCTTCTTCTCTCTGCCTTTCAGCTGCAGGCTGGCCACGGCAGCGTTTTGATTTAATGTAACAGATCTTCAGGAAAGGGGAGGAATCTCCCCTCTCCCGACTTCTGTCCACAAAACGCAACGGGAGACATAACACAGACGAAATCAACCCAAGCAGCTCAGCAATGTGTTAATATCCATCGAGGTCATCTTTAGGGCAGTGGGGTGAAGAGAAAAAGACAGCCGAGCATATTTGATGCGTTTAAATAATGCTTGAGGTTGAGCAGGTAAGGAGGAACTGTTGGATCAAATCTTCACGCGCAAAGTTGAAGCGCCCTTTGGACAACTCTGCGCATCCTAGAGAATTCCCGAGATTCTCTAAGCAGCTCTGGCTCATTGTTTCCCATGTAGCTTCGATGTGTAAGTAAAAGCTTTAGTTACAGAACAGCAGCCGTAAAAGGAACACGATTATAATTTTTGCACGCTTCCCAAACTGGGTACATGCTGCGGTCCTAACAAGTCACTCTTATGAGAAAACAATTTCCCTTAAAATCAATGCAAACGCATTTAGGGTCAGCGTGAGTTTTGAACATGTATGTATGTATGTATGTATGTATGCATAGTGGCCTTGTGCACATTGTGGAAAAGAATATTTCACCCGCCTTTTATGTATCTCTGTGTATAAAATTATGAAATGCACACTTGCAATTTAAGAATACAAGCAATTTCCTGCTTCGTTCGATGCCCTTCAGATGTCTAGCACGGATTCCAACTGAAGACATTAGCAAACTTCTATTAACCCACATTATCTCAGAGCTGCAGCATCAGGTATGCTACTAAAAAGTTGGGCCGGCAGCTCTCTTGGCCTTTTAGGAGTCAGGCACACTTTAGGAGTTGAGGCACACTTGAGACTCAACCGCACTGAACAGTAGGACTTATTTCCGAAGGCACTGCTGTGTGCTTAAAAGAAAATAAAAATCGTGAATCAAAACATACGATTAAAAAAAATTAAGAAAAATGTGGCCCGCTCACGCATATACACCGGTGGTGGTGGGAGTATTTATCAGAACATAAATAAAATAATTTGTATCTTGCTTTGAAATGTTTTCCTTACTGTGTTTCTTACAGCGCAGTCTTGTACTCACTCAGAAGTGCGTTCAGTAGGGCTTACTCCTAGGTAAGAGTGTATAGGACTTCAGCTTTCAGCAAGAGTAAGTCCCATTGAATCCAATTTTATTTGCCTCTGAGAGCTTAACTATCCTATTGAAATCAACGCCATTTAAAAGCACCAAGCTGTAGCTGAATCGTGCCCAAGGTTTCGATTCAATTGCAGATACAGCTGTGGGTTACAGAACAGAGGGTTTTTTTTACTTTTGGTGTCACCCAGACCCCCCCCATTAGAGTAATCCCTTTAAAATACATGAACTAAATTAAAAGAGACAAACCATCCATCTTAAAAAAACTAGTGTTGTTTGTCACGGTTTCACTGTCCGGAGCAGGAGACTTCAATAAATAAGGTAGGGTTCGAACTACAGGAATCTGCTCATAAATTTCTGACCATTTTAGCGCACTGTTAATTTATTAAATTTGAAAGTGGAACAATAAAGTAGTAACAACAATCTTTGTCTCCAGTGAAAAACACACTAGCAGAATTTTGTTAGCCACGTCGATGAATTGGAAGTGGAAATTCACATAATTGCAAATGGGTGATTAACTAAGTGAACTAGGAAGAGAGTTACAGGGTACTTTCCATGCTCATAACATTTAACTTTTCAGAGCTTCCTCCCGCCCCTCTCTCACACACTTTTACCGAAGTCAAACCAGTCCATTAACGTCATTAGAAGTTGGCTGAAGAATAATATAGAGCTAGTTTTCCTATGCAAGAAGATCTCGGTAGTGGTTAAATTACACCCCCGAGCCTCCCCTCAAAACTAATCTTCGCAGCGCCCAAACTCACCCAACGACAACGCGCTGGTTCCACAAGCGAACCAAAGCAAGGAATGGTTGTAGCGCTTAAAGAAATGTAGATGGAAATAGATTCATTTTGTCTCCATTGTAATCTAATTAGCTTTCATTTGTGCGGAGACATCCAGTGTATTATTCATCAGATTATTTTCTACACGAGGAAGAGTTAACAGGGAGTATCCCAAGCCCCTTTCTCCGCACTCTCTAAGGTGGTCCAATGCGCGTCTATTTGCGTCATATTTAATAAAGCGGACATCAGGCGCCAACAATTTCGTACTCATTGATCTTCTTGATTTGAAGGGATGTTATAAATAGCTAAACCTGGTAAGCGCTCCCTCCCCTTCTTTAACTCTCCACAACCTTTGCCCGTTGCTCATCAGCTCCCCCCTCCCTCTTTATTTAAACCTTTCTTCCTTTTGAGGGCAAGAAGGGCGGGCAACTGCGTTGCCGAGGGGGGCCTCGAACTCGCGTCATCCCAGCCCGCTGCAGAGAGGAGCTTCAGAGCAAAGACCGCGGCAAGAAGGACTCTCAGCGCTTGGTCTGTGCTCAAAGCGCCTCCTGCGTCCAGGGAGCCTTTTGTTTCCGCCTTGCTGCAGAGCGAAGAGGGCTGCCTATCTGGGATTTGCCTCTTTCCAGTCAAGTTCACGAGCGGGACTGTCCGCAACGGGAGTTAGAGGAGGAGGAGGAGCAGCAGCAGCAGAGATTTAGGGACTGGCGCATCAGTGACTCAGAATCCTGCGGATTTAAACCGAAGCACTTGAAGTTTGAAGCGCACGGCGTAAATCCCTGCAAACAAAAGCGAGTCAAAGTCGTGCTGTTTTGCTACCACCGAAGGAGGCGTCTAGGTCTGCACGAGCCCATCCGATACACAGGGGAGCAGCAAAACCAGGACTGGAGCCTTTCCCCTTGCACCCCTCGCCACAGCCGCAGTTGCGCCTCGAAGAGGAGAGAGCAATCTGTACATGCTCTTTGGTGCAGTGGAGGCGGGTAGAAGTGGGAGAAGGGGAGACGGCGGCTAGAGGGCCAATCTCTAGTAAACTCTGCGTCCCAGCTACAAAGTGTCAATTTCCAACCTTTTTTTATTAATTTTTTTTATTTACAAAAGTGTGTGCAATGTCTCTCTCGTATTCTTTTTCCACGTAACATTTTTACAAACCAGTTTCATTTGTTGAGACATTAGGAAGAAAAGGGGGAAAGAGGTGGAGGGGGGCTATTTTTTTTTTAACCCTCGTAGGATGGACGGTTCTCTTTTTTTACTGCAGGGCTAGATAGATCTCCGTGCCAGCTTGAAAGGGTCCTGGCCTGGAAATGAGTGGGAAGCGGGTGGGACTACCTCTCCATATAGTCTACGTCGCTTAAAAAAATCCCTCCACACACTTATGGCAGATCTGCACCAACACTGCTGGCATTTCTTTCCTCTTTGTTAACAGGGAGCAAGAAGGAGCATGGGGAGTTGGCCAACGAAGCAGCAGTGGCTTTGTGCTGTGAAGGCAACCCTGTACAGACTGCTTATAGAAATTCTGGCTGAAAGTTGGCCACCATGGGAAGCAGCTTGCTGGAAGAGATGGGCGCTTCTTCTGTTTTGATGACACAAAGAGGGTCAGATCCTCCTTAGAAGAAAAGAGGCAGCAAATAATAATAATAAAAATCAATCCCTGTCTTCAATGTCCATTTGGCTGATGTTCAATGTTTTCATTTTTTTGTGCCTTTAGAATTCCCAGAATTTGGGCCCAGAACTGGAACCTTGATGCTGCAGCCTTCCTGAAACTGGGTGAATATGATAATATACCTGGATGGGAAACCACACTGGGAGGCCTATTTAAGAGAACATATTTGAAATAAGATTAAGAATTTGACCTGGAGACTTGAAATGCATGGAACTCAGGCATCACACTTCCTAAAGTTAAATATACAATTCTTTTCCAGCATTCAGGAAGAGCCTTTTCCATATACCCTTGTTAGAAAGCACTCCTTCCTTTGACTCTACCTTTTGTTTTTATGTTAAAATTCCAGATATCTGCAATTAATTAAGGGGGGAGGGAGTGAAGGATGCCAGAGAACGGACTGAGGGCTTCAGTAGTCACAAGGTTGTGAGGATTAAATGAGGGAGGGGAGAACCATGTGCAGTATACCATCTTAAACTCATTGAATAATAAAAGAGGGATATAAACGCAATAAGTGTTAAATATTGTCTGGATGCAAGGGCTACCCACAGATATACAGCAGTTCTACCCAGTGGCATAGCGTGGGGGGTGCAGGGGGGCCCGGCCGCACCGGGCGCAACATCTGGGGGTTAGGGTTAGGGGGCGCAAATCCACGGGTTAGGGGGTGCAAGTCCACGGGTTAGGGGGCGCAAATTACTTGCCTTGCCCCGGGTGCTGACAACCCATGCTACGCCACTGGTTCTACCTATTGCAAAACAGTGGAAGGATGAATCTGGATTGCAAGCTTGTCAGAGGCCAGATCTACCCAGGTCTCTCTACCACTGAATCACCAGATTTCCCGTAAATGGCACATCTGTTAGTTGATGCTAGTTATATTTGTTTGTTTCCTTTGCCCTCCCTGGAAACAATCACATGAGTGCCCATGTGCCAGCCCCCCCCACTCCATCAGAAACATGTTTCCTGGCAAAATAAGTTGCAGACTAAAGGGTCCTTCTTTTTGTGGGATGTAATCCACTGGGAGCAGTCAAATACAACATTCCTTGTTTTCCTAGAGTGGACATGCAAGGGAATGTTTGGTCCAGCCAGTCAAAACTTCCTGTTCCTCCTGGCCTGCAGCATCCTTCCTTGCATGTGACTAGTGGGTGGCCATGATCTTTCCAGACCTGGTAAAAGGCCAAGGCATGCTGCCACTCTCTCGCTTTTCCATTTTCCTTCCATC